AGGATATTTATCTGTATTTGGACTTATAAACCAAACATTTTTATCCTCGTCAACAGGATTAAAACTAGATAGTTGATCATATAAAAACTCAAACTGCGTTTCTGTGCCAATTCTGCTGATGAAGCAATTTGTTACGTGATACTTGAATCGTAAAGACAAATCTTCCGTCTTGACTTTATGTACTTTACTGCTAACAAATTGTATATTTTTTTCCCCAGGGACTGTGGAGATTCTTCGTGCAGTTTCTCCACCACTACTAGGGATTTCCTGAGTTTTTTTCGATATTCATTTACTGTTTGTTGTTGTAACGAGGATAAAAATGTTTGGTTTATAAGTCCAAATGCAGATAAATATCCTGCTCAAGCCAGCTCAAACGGTATTTAACACTTCACCTGTACTTGTGGCGACAAGTACATAAGAAGGACTGAGAGGAAAGCGTCTACTGGATTTTCTGAGCACATCCCTCGAAGTCTCCGTTTGAAAGACAGCAAAATGCTCTCAAGTGTAATTGCCCGACACACGTAATTGACACTGGACGCACAGTGGAAATTAGTCAGACTTTCAAAATAATCAATACACAGAGAGAGACATGGTTACTCCCGTTCATAGAAGCCATTGCTATCATCCAAAGACTTTGACGCAACCTCTGTATAAAGGAAGATAGCGTGACTAATCTATCGCTACCCTGGTAACCGTGATTGTTTTGTTCTGTTGCATAACATTCCATTCAACCTTGATTTTGGTGTTCACTTACTGACTGAGTTGAACGCACTATTAAGTTTCTAAACCTACTAAATTAAATTATTTTATCTATATTATAATTTTACTTTACCATTCATCCCCACCCTCCTGAACTGTCCATCATAATATGTATAACTTCACTTTGTTTTGTCCTGCTTTGTATTTTGTCTCTAGTTCATGCTTGTTTCCAAGGTCAATCTGAACTCTACACCCGCCCCCTTATCTAATTACTGCATAAATAGTTAATCTCTTTTAACACTAAATAATTGTCTACTTACATCATCTCTGGAATTATGTTGTCTTATACTTTTTATCTATAACTGGAGGTCACTGTGAACGGTATATTGAGAGACCATTTTGTAATTGATTTTGTCGTTTAGGATGTACGCGCAGTTGAAGAGAGACAGAATCCCCGAAATAAAACGAGTTCATATTATCCTGGCAATATCTTCGTTCCTTGTTTATTTAACCTGCTGTTAGTTGAAGAAATCGATATCATTAGTGTGTAAGAGATTTGTCACGTTGTATGTTGAAGCATCCGAGGAATAATATCAGTGTTGGTTTTCAATTCTCAATGCTAACTATGTGAACTAAATGCTCGGTAGCCACAATGAAAATCCGGGTCAATTTCCGATGATTGTACGTTTGAATCCAGCCTAGTTAGTAGTAAGCTCCAGAAAGAGGGGAGATTGGGCTTTACAATATTGCAAGCCTCTTTCTTCGCACAAAAATTGAAATTGAAACATCAAATTCCATTCCGAACGGAGAGTCTAATTGTTAGTTTGCAGGGATCTCATCATGAGCTGACATCAGCCAGAGAAGAATTGAAAACCGCCACTCGAGTATTGGACAGCGGGTTTAGTTAGCCTAGTATAGGATTAACTCTTCAGCACTTAACATTCACTCCTATTCCGGGGTTCTAACCTAGGACCTTCCGGTTATAAGGAGAAATTGTAGACCATTAGGCCACTGAGATCCGACCCCTCAATGGCCAGTCCATGAATTCCAAATTCTCCTATTGCACGATAGAGAGCGACTGGCACTAGTCAATATTATCTCTGACAACTATTTGTCGTCATACCCGACTTACTGTACACAACTGGTCACAAATTCTCACTAGAACCCAGGTAACTACCTACCTGAATAAGACCAGTTACTAGTGAGCACCACAGTTTAAGTAACTGACGGCGACTTCTTCAAGTACAACTAGTTATCAACAGGTTAACTTTATCTCAGGCGACAAACATCAAAACAACATATTTCTCCTTTACAGATTAATATGTTTATAATGATAAAAGCAACAACACACATACATTGATAACACGGCAACGAAAAAACCTGACACGCTAACAACGACGAACGTGTAGAGATAATCTTAGATGTATGCGACATAGAAACCCTACAAAGATTTGCCAAATCTTGGCGTGGTTGTGTTCTCTGAGCAGGATGGTGGTTTATTTGCGAAGCCTTCACTTCCCCAACACTACCCAACATTTTCGTTCAGCGCATACTTCAATTCGTTGAAGTGAGCTTTCAGATTTCTCCACGAGTTTATTAGTCATCTCTCCTGGTGGGTGACCTCCAACGTGACTCTTTGGTTGTTTTTGTCTGTCTTCACACCCCTCTAGGCTAATTCTATTGGTATTGGTGCTGATTGTTTCCTTGACTTGAACGTTGACTCTTTGTGTGTATGAGATTTCCTTGTTGTCATCGGTTGGTAAATTTTGTCTATCCCGATGTTGTGTCTACTGATTGACGATTCACTGGAATACCAGACAGCCTTCTAAAAATTCAATGGCATTGTTGGTGTTTCCTCTGTTGTCTAATATTTGAACGTTGGTTGTCCCAGTCGAATTGATGTCCGTGGCTGTCTGTCTGTATGCAGTGGGGTGATATGAATGAGGGAGTGGATGTCATGTCTTTTGACGGCTAGCGCTAATGATCATGGATACGAAGAAGAAGAGGAGGGACGTCCACTTTGTCCAGTGTAGTGTTTTTCGCAGTTGTTACAATTTATTTTGTAGATGACGGATGGTTGGTTTTATCTTCTTTCGTTGTTAAGTTTGCCTTTTGGTTGACAGAGAACCAGCCGAGTGAAGTAATTTAGTTGGTTTGTGTGAGACGTCAATTCCTAAAGGTTTGAAGAGTCTTACAGTGATTTCTGAGATGTCCTTTATGTATGGTATAGCGGTATTCTTTGTGCTTTCCTTGGGGTCCTTTGATTTGGTAGGTTGATAGCTTGGGGGTATATGGCGAATGAAATCCAGTGGACCAGTCCTTTCCTGATTCTACGGCAGGCCCAAAATGCACAAGCCAAATATCCCGGTACGACCAATTGTATCACTGCCAGGAACTCCAACATACAATTTATCCAAAGAATGATACAGAAAATTGAAACAACTAACGGAATCTTGTGATCACTCCATCAATTTTGCTATCCAATTTCCAGAGAAAATCAGAGGCATCCAAATGGATGACCAAGAAATAATGATAAACTTCGACAAAAACTAGCAAAAAAGACCATAGAGCAAATACTCAGCAGCGACGAACAGCTCCCACAACAATCAAAAATGCAACACACAAGTTGGATGGAATGCATAAACCTATGCCTAGCAACGTACTTCCATTTCTACGTCCAAATATATGAACAAGTTAAAGTAACACCCATGGGATAGCCAATATATCAGGTTTGATTGCAGAAGTAGTGATGCAAAGGCTCGAAAACATAATCCTACCAAAGATCAAATCCAAAATTTGGATTCATTAAGTAGATGAAATATTTGTAATAATGAAAAGAAACGAGTTGGATAAAACTCACAACAATGTCTTCAATGACATCAAATTCACATGAGAAGAGGAATCTGAAAGCAAAATCCTATTTTTGGACATCTTAGACAAGCGAACAACCACAGGGGAATTAGAAACTCAAGTTTATAGAAAATCAACTCACACCGACCAAATACTGAATTACAAAAGCAACAATCCAATAACACACAAAAGGAATTGTATACAAACACTATTCAAGAGGGCCAGGACTCATTGCAGCACTCCCGCCTTAAGAACAATTAAAGAATGATATATCATGCACGTTTTCCAAAAGAACAGATATCCACAGAACTTCATCAAAAGACATATACCCCCAAGCTATCAACCTACCAAATCAAAGGACCCCAAGGAAAGCACAAAGAATACCGCTATACCATACATAAAGGACATCTCAGAAATCACTGTAAGACTCTTCAAACCTTTAGGAATTGACGTCTCACACAAACCAACGAAATTACTTCACTCGGCTGGTTCTCTGTCAACCAAAAGGCAAACTTAACAACGAAAGAAGATAAAACCAACCATCCGTCATCTACAAAATAAATTGTAACAACTGCGAAAAACACTACACTGGACAAAGTGGACGTCCCTCCTCTTCTTCTTCGTATCCATGATCATAAGCTCTAGATGTCAAAAGACACTCCCTCATTCATATCGCCTCACTGCATACAGACAGACAACCACAGACATCAATTCGACTGGGACAACCAACGTTCAAATATTAGACAACAGAGAAAACACCAACAATGCCACAGAATTTTTAGAAGGCTGTCTGGTATTCCAGTGAATCGTCAATCAGTAGACACAACATCGAGATAGACTAAATTTACGAACTGATAAGGAGAACGAAATCTCATACACACAAAGAGTCAACGTTCAAGTCAAGGAAACAATCAGCACCAATACCAATAGAATTAGCCTAGAGGGTGTGAACACACAAAAACAACCAACCACGACGTTCAAGGTCACCCACATCAAAATCATCCACCAGAGAGCTACAAATCTTCTCCATCTTATGTATTTCCCAAATCATTTGACGAACAAAAAGTATGACTGAGGGAAATCTAAATAATAATAATAATGATTATTATTTAATTTTGTATCTCTTCTTTTTGTTTTTTTTATTTAACCAAGTTTGAAATGCACAAACCAACATAATGCAGACATGCACAATCAATCAAAGAACCAACCAACCGCACTACACCACACCACCAAACAAAAATAAAACAAAACAAAATAAACTCATTTAAACAAACGCAGCAAACAATTACAACAAATGATTATCGACAAATTATAATAATAAATAAATAAATAAAGTGTAGAGAGAATGAGAGAGATGAGCAAAAAGAAATCAATAGACTAAAGCGCAACAGAAAAATAAGAAGTGGTAATCACATCACAATAACAGTAATAATAATGATAATAGTAATAGTTCAACTTCTCTGTATTATTAAAATATGTATAGATAATAATAATAATGATCATAGTAATAATAGCCAAAAAATCAATAATGATAGAACTCTTTCTCCCTCTCACTATATTTTTTTGTCTATTGTGTTGTATTGGATTGACTGACTGCCTGGCTCACTGACAGAGGAAAATATGGAAAGTTTAATTGGCGCTCAACACAAACCCATGCACACACACACTGCTAGTTGTACTATGGGCATAGGAGTGATAGTGAAACGACTACAACAGATGATGAGGCAAAGGTTATCATCATCTAGGTAAGTGTGTGTGTGGGTGGTTAAGTAGGCAGGTAGACAGACAGACAGGCAGACGGATAGAGAGATAGACGGACAGACAGACACACCTAGACAACTAGATTAATGCTCACAAAAAAATAATAAATAAGGTGTCCTTGAGATAGACGGAGCAGCTGCATAAATGAATTCACTACACAAGAGACGACAACAAAAATACATATGTGTATATATCACAGAGAAAGAAAGTGTTGATAAATAACAACATACAGAAAGGCGAAGAAAGACAATTAACTAACTAACTAACTAACTAACTAATTAACTGACTACTTACACACACTTGTGATTTCATTATTTAAAATAAATACCACACAGGTAGGCACACCAACACGGTAGGTGATACAATCACACCCACCCACCCACCACATGTGAATTGTCTGAGTAGCCGATATTGTGTGTGTACAGATAAACAGTCAATAAAGAGACGTATTCTATGTATTTATGTGTGCACGTGTGTATGTGAAGAGATTGCCATCATCAGGAGAGGACGACGACGCCGACCACCCACCACCACAAAAGCAATAAACAACCACAGGCAAGAGAAACCTTTTTTGACCAGAAAAAAAACAGAAAACAGTGTGCAATATTCTATGCATACAAACACAAATGCATAGAAATTGATTTGAGGAAGAGAACATAATAGAATAAATAAATAAATGGGGCTAGTGGGGGGTGGATTGTGGCGAAAGCTATAGGATTGATTTAATGACAACTCTGTTTCTCAATAATCAATAAAATCGTGAGTAAATACGCACACACACACACACGCGCAGACTGTTCTAGAGTAGAACACAGAAACACTAAGGAGGGGAATTGAAAAATAAGTAGGTAGTACTTAGCACACTAGTACTAGAGCGCTTTTAATAGTAATGACCAATCAATAGTGAGGGGTGAACTCAAATGCTCAGGAGAAAAAAACAACAAGAAAGACCACTGACAATACAATACAATACACAAAACAAAACAAAATAAAACAGAGAAACGGAGGCATCGAGAGAAATACAATAGGGGTATGCAGCGAAATAAGTGATGAGAAAATAAATAAATAATCTGGAGCAAACAGTCAACCGATTTATACAAACATACATAAATACGTACATACACCATATAGGGAGAGACAGAAACACACACGCAGACAGACAGACAGACAGAGAGGTGAATGTACCTGCACCAGACATGATTAGATGAATTCAAACTAATCAGCCTTCCTTACTTTGGAGCGTTTTGTTACACCACTCTTGTTGTTACCACTGCTGGCGACCATACTGGTGGTGGTGGTAGTGGTGGTTTCAAGATACGATGGTTGTGGTGATGGTGAATGTCTTTGATTATTATCCTGTTGCTCGCCATCATTATTGCTCTTATTATCATTATTATTACTACTACTACTACTGCCCAGAGCTAATTTCAACAGTTTACTAGCTTGTGGATGTCTTCCACCCTCTAGAAGTTCAGGTTCCATTGTTACAGAGATTGGATCACCATTATCCGCTTTAATTAATGGTGGGAATTGTGACTGGTCAATAATAGGCGATGATGATGATAATGACAACTCTTCATTGTATGGATTTATTTCTAATTCTGAGTCTACAGTTGAAGAGGCAGACGATGAAGAAGACGGTTGACATGATGATGCACTAGGAATTTCAATTAATTCAAATCCATTTTCTTCATCATCAACTGGTTTAACTTGATTGGATTTTGTTGCAGAAGAAGATGATGAAATCAATGGCGCTGTTGAATCAATCGATGGTACAGTTTGACTGTTTGACTCTTGATTTGCGAGAGTTTTACGCGATGCATTACGACGTTTACGTTTAGGATTAGGCATAGACGTTGATGTACTTGTGGTGGTGGTAACAGATTGATCGATTGAAGATTGTTCACCACCCACTGGAGTAACAGTACTCGGCTAAAAAAAATAAAAATTTAGAAAATTTAGAAGAAAAGTTGGCGAAAACGCACACAGTCATCACATTTGAAAATCTGAGAACAAAAAAAATAGTTTAGAACAACACCTGCTTAAGCGAACAATATTGTGGTTTCAATTAGATCTCATCATCAGGCTTAACTCTAATATACCCAACATAACTTTACAAATAAAAATTTCAAATATATACCAATCATGGTGTTTTGTCTATAGGATAATAAGATTGTGTGGAATATTTCAATATTATGAATTAAAAGTCAATCTGAACGAAGAATATTCTTTTCAATAATTTCTCCTCTTCAGGTTCTTACAATTATAAAATATAATGTATTTGTTGTCGTTACAATAATGACCAGTTGGTTATGCGGCGGATACATTTTTAACGTAGGATAACAGATTATTGTTATGGGGTGTCAAAACAAATAGTCGTATTTGTGTGATAAAATTCGTGCTAGGCTGAAATCGATTACAAAATATTGTAAAACGGGAGACAATGGTGGTGATTAATCTCCTACACAGAGCTGAAGCTGTTGCAATAAGATCGACTAAAGCGGAACTTTGTATCCAAAAAGAACACGTCCAGACGCTGTTCCTACCGTGGCCGAACTTAGATTGATGATTCTTCTTCTCACCAAGAGTGCTCCTTCCCCTTAACCATCTTGGTTTTTTTTCCTTTGCTTATTATCACAAATATTATTATTACAATTATTAAAATTATTATTCGTCATAGTTTATGGCCTTCATGCAAACATTCTCTCAGTACTATGGAATATTTCATTTATACTATCCGGACTTATTATTAGTGATATTATCTCTTTTCTCAATATATGCCTCCACCTGTTTCATTTCACATATTCGTTATTTCATTATGAACCTCTCATTGTAGTCTTACTATCTCCTCCTCTTTAATTCATCCTACTTTGTACTAGCCACTCACCCACCTGACACCTTTTATAACATTGAACTGACTTGTCAATTTTCCTACCTCACTTCACATTCTACGAAGCTATTATGACTAATCACCACCACTGCCTCCCGTTTTACAATATTTTGTAATCGATTTCAGCCTAGCATGATTTTTGTCACACAAATACGACTATTTATTTTGACACCCTATACATACTAATCTGTTATTCTACATTAAAATGTATCCGCCGCATAACTGATCATTATTGTAACGACAACAAATATATTATATTTTATAATTGTAAGAGCCTGAAGAGAAGGGTGTATTGAAAAGAGTATTCTTCGTTCAGATTGACTTTTAATTCATAGTAAGATTGTGCATATAAATTGTGCGAATAGTCATAATAGTAGTAATGATAATAATAATAATGATAGTAATAATAATAATAATAATGGTCTTATCAACAATAAGGATGAAAAAGTGAGGCAATCTGTGATAACACGAATAATAATAAAAACCAGCATGATTAAACAAATAAATGTTCAGGTAGACATAGTAGTTGATAAAGGCTAATAAAAACAAATGAACCGATTAAGTAATCTTAGATTGTAAGGGAAGTAAAGGAAACACGTTTTTTAATGAAGATGTGATAAGATTAAGGGATGATAAGAGAGGGATTGAAAATATAAGTAAGGGGTTGTGGTGATATCATCAGCTGGTCAGGTCTTAATAAGCCAAGCAAGGGAGGGATAATAGTTGTGTACGAACTTCTTTTGAATGCATAGTTTTCGGTTGAATAGTTCCAATGACTATCGCCTCAGCTGTGTGTGTGCAGTAGACGAATACGAAGTCTATTGGAAAGATTCGGTGGGATACTATGAATTACTTTGAAGGCTCTCGTTTTCTCCACTACATGACCCCCTATCAATTAAATGTGACAAAATTGAGCTACGGATTGTTTTTGTGTGTCCTTTGCCAAGCCACCACGATGGGAGATGTACACTAACACGTTGGCTAAGCTGTCTAGTAGTAGTGTGCCCAACATAACTGTCACCGCAGGTGCAGTTGATTTGATAAATACACATAGATGTGGCAAAACTATCAAGCGTATCGTTCGTTTGCGTCCCAATCATTTGTCGGCTAGAGAATGACAAACATAGGTGTGCTGCGTAAACCATTCTTCGTATACTCCTTGAAAGTCTTTGGAATAAAATCTCACTTGATAATAAATAGAGGCTTCTTAAGTGCAGTCAGAGTCTCAGGTTTTTTCTCGGATGTTTTCATATGTTACTCGGATAGTCCATCTCCATCAAATAGTTAACTCGTGTGCTAATGATGATAATGGTATCAATGCGACATGTTGAAAATATTATTCAAAGGAAATTAGATTTCAAAATAATCCTTTAATCGATCAAAAATGCCCATTAGAAATTTCAAAAGATTGATTACTACTGAGAAGAGAATACTCCTCTCGACAATCTGTTCTTCATCAACTTCGACAGTTATTTATATGCATCCATACTAATAATGAAAGAATTAGGGATATTAACAGCCTTAATGTTTTCAAGTATTTATTTTTTGTAGAGTACAGCAGGTTGAAGGTCGAAGGTAGTCACTCATCGAAGAAGACATTGAGAAGTGGTCGAGCTATGTCGTGCGCGAATTGTCATAAGTTAGAATTCATTGACTGGCGGCCATTGGATCGGTTGGGTCCCAGTGGCTTAATAGTCTACGAGCTAGCTGCTCACCTTGTAACCAGAAAGTCCTGGGTACGGACATTGGCGGTGAGTGCGTACTGCTGAAAAGTCCCCAACTAGCCTGATGAAACAGCTGGCTGTCCAGTACTCCCAGCTAGTTTTCCAATAGTTCTCTAACCGATATCAGAGTTCATGATAAAATCCTGTAATCAATCAATCAAACATTAATGTGTTGTTTGAATAACATTGAATCAATCAATAATATGAATAGATTACAGTTTCAATGGCATCTGTAAGTGTGCTAATATGCTCAGAAGAGGTAATTGAATGTGTACTTAAGATCGACTGTATATGACACACTTTAATTGAAAGTAGCTATCAAGAAAAGTTGATCATGAAACACATGACCAAGAAAGTAGAAAATGACTATTCTCTCTCTCTCTGTAAATACGACTGTAATTCATGGTTGACGTACGAAGTAAAATAATTACTTAGAAGTTAAGAAAATCAGTTCAAAGAATTTTTAATGCCGGTAAGCTGTGACTCCTCAATTGAAAGGTGAAGTACTCAGACCAACTAGCCACCTCTAATTATATCTAACAATTCACCTACGCTTGTGTGTCAGTGGCACAGCGGTTAGGACACTCGATCCGGGGTTCAATCTCCGGCTAACGCACTCCTTTACCTCGCTAAGCCAGAAATAAAAGCTGGTAAAGAGGAGAGATTGGACATGAGGCTGGCTAGCGATCCCATCCTGTAAAAATAATCACCACTGCTACAGAAACTTCAAGCCTCTAGCTTGAAGCCCTATGTTCCACTGGGAATGTAAAGGAATAAAAATAATTCAACTGTGCCTGTGGTGGAGCGAGGTATATTTGCCGTTACTCTAGAAACTTGACTTTCTGTGCTCTCTCGGCAACACCTACTAGTGTGGTGTGGCTAAATAAAGGTTAATGAAAAAACATCATCAACAGCTCGACATTAGACCACCAGGTCCAAAGCGACCGGCCATAATGCTAGCTAGTATTGAATACTCCTTCTCCATCATCATCTATTGGGTACTGAATAAATCAATTGCCAAAAGCATCCAAGCACCAAAGAATCCAAAAAGCAGAGGCTATTGTGATCCGCCCAAAAAACAACCGGTTCTCTGTGTGCCGAAGAAACATGCCCAACCAATACTACTCGAGTGACCTTCTGTCGAGGTTGTAAATTCATAAACTCTGTATTATTGCTTCGCCTAATTTGTCTCTTGAAGGCGGCCTTCGACTCCGTGGATCGAAAGGTACTATGGCAATGTTTGACTGTGAAGGGAGTGCCAAGAAAGTACATTGCACTAATCAAGGCACTCTACTCAAACTCACGTAGCCGTGTAAAGGCTTATGGGGAATTGTCATCTGAATTGATAACAACCAGTGGTGTCCGTCAAAGATGTCCACTTTCCCCGTTTCTCTTTAACTTCATCATAGATATGCTAATGGAAGTATCCTTAACTGAACTTAACGACTTAGGAATCGACTTGTTACCAGAGAATAGTCTTATGGACTTAGAATATGCAGATGACATAGTCCTGTTAGGGGAGGATGCTGACAAAATGTAGTCTTCTGAACACCTTGAGCAGCAATCTTCGTATGTTTGGCATGCGATTCGCCACTGTAAAATGTAAGATGCTGCTACGTCTACCCCTAGCTTCGTGATAGGGAGTGAAGTGATAGAACATGTTGACCACTTCACCTATCTGGGAAGCTGTATCAGCACCAACGGATTGATTTGCGACGAAATCTCAGCACGGATCCAAAAAGCTCGGGCTGCTTTCACTAACTTACACCATCTCTGGCGTAGGCGTGACATCCGGCTATCAACCAAGGGACGTGTGTACTGCTCAGCAGTTCGCTCCGTCCTTCTCTATGGCTCTGAAACATGGCCAATACGAGTTGAAGACATGAAAAGGTTGACTGTTTCTGATCATAGATGTCTACGATCTCTTTCTCACGTTAGGTGGTGGTATAATAAGGTAAGTAATGTTGACGTTAGGCGTAGAGTGTTAGGCAAAGAGGGAAAATCAATCGAAGAGGCTATAAAGTTACATAGATTGAGATGGTTAGGCCACGTGCTGCGCATGCCTAGCCATCGCCTCCCCTAACGGGCATTACTAGCTGATATAGGTGCAGGTTGGAAAAGAGTAAGTGGTGGCCAAACAAAAACATGCCCTCATCAAACCATGAAATCCTTGACAGTTAAACTGAGTCAAGTACGGAGATGCAGGCTTCCTGGTTGGGGCCCGCCCTCGGGACTCTAAGAATCAATGGCTGGAGACAGTAGGTGACATGGCTCAAAATCGTTGTCAATGGCTTACGCAGATGTATTCAGTCTCTGTA